CTTTGTTGATTTGAAGTCCTGTCATCACTGCCTACCTTTTCTGCCAGATCTAAAGTCTTTTTATCAGTTCAACGTTTTCCTGTCTTTTCTCTCCAGCCCATAGTCTGCTGCATGACCTAATCCAACACAATCAAGAATATCATCGGTGTTAGTAGGCAGCCAGCTTGTTTTACTTCTCTATCTTCACTTCAAAGGCTTCTTTGAGTTTTCCGTGTGGATCACTTGGTGTGCATGATTATCATATATAGCTGTTGAATGAGACTGATAAAGATACACCACGCTCCGTAGTGTTGAAGTCGTTTCCAAATTACCTCGGAAACAATGGTGTCGAAGGCCTTTTTGTAGAATATCATCGAGGATGTGCAGAGGGATAACGAGATGAATCCTATTCAACTTCTTCCTGTTTTGAAACAGTTAAGAAAAGTTCTTTTATGCTGTGTCTTTGTGTGATATTCTGTTTTTCTCACGTGAGTTCTACTAACCCTTTCCTGTGATCGATCTTCTTTAACAGGTAATATCAGAGAAAGAGTCGTGTCTGATGAACTAAAGCGTGTCCAAATATCAAGTTAGCGATATATGTGACAGTAGTCAATGGATTGGTTTAGACTAACGACGTCATGCATCGACAATTTCAACAAAACTCGATCTACATTTCCTACTACTTCGAGTTTTTCACCAAGGCGTAGATGCATTTTTGGAGGTAACTAGTATACTCTCTTGGAATCAAAGTCGCATCATATAGTATTGCAACCACATACTTTGCAACTGAGGTTTTCAGGTCATCAATGATTTTTTATAAGATCGTGTTGGGTACATTGAATGTCTTGCCCTAGGCGTAAATCCAAATTCTGTTCCTGAAACTCTTTCTCTCCGTTATCTCTAAGGTAGTAGGAGGGGAGTAAAGTAAGAAGCTGCATTTTTGATGACTGCTCATTACCAAGGTAGGTTCATAATCTGCTTACAAAACCTTTAGAAATTCGGTTCAAATTTATTACGGCTTTAACGATGAGTAGTGATCCAGTGGTAGGAATACTTGCCAGGCACACAAGTACATGGTCCGAGATTCAATCCTCGACTGACGTACTCCTAAACCTACCTCGCTTAGCTAGCAAGCATTAAGCCCCGGTTGAGGGAGAGAGAGAGGAAGGTTGTGAGGGGTCAATGAGGCTAGCAGCCCCATCCCTGTAAAAAATTAACACCACTGCTATGGAAACATCAAAGCTCAAGGTTGAAGCCTCTATGTTCCACCACGAATGCAAGGGGAATAATAAGACAGCACGCTGTATCATTCAGATGCCTCTAAACCTTTTTCATCAATTGACAGCTTTCGAAAGTGTGTGTGTGTATGGCATGCATATTACTAATTTTATTGTTTCAGGTTTACTTTGTACACAAAAACGAGTATTTTTTTCTCCTTACCGTGACTTGTTCAAAGTATTTGAAGGTGTCAGTTACACAGTTTATTCTGTCTCCTATGTTCCTTCGTCTTACTCCCGGAAAAGTCTGAAATGACCAAAATAGCCACAGTAATGCGTCTGAAATCAAACCTTTTAATTCATGAAGGTGAGATATATGGATAAAGCTGTTGAGTTGTCTCGACTTGATTATTATTTCCACCATCATTGATGTATGCCTACTACGTTTTCATCAATTACACCTCTTTAGAAGGTATTTATTCATCTAAACAACCTTCGTGGAACTGAATGAAACGATTTCCTTGTAACGACTGCTGCATCTTGAATATAATTCATTCATGAAGAGAAGTACACGTGAAACGACTTGCAAAACTCTATAAGATCTCAGAATGTTTTCAAAATTCCAGATTGGCGATTGATTTATCTAGCTGTTGGGATCGACGTGACGTCCAACTGGATTGTGCACAAAACAATAAACTATTCAAACTAGAGGCGATCATGATATATAGTTTTTTTCCACTTCAGTTTCTCGCTGCATCAGTCTCGGAAAAACTGTGACTGACTGACTGAGTGAGTTTCAAAAGGAAATATGATGAGCGGAAATGCACAGGAGATAGAATAGTAAATGTAGAAAAATATGATTGTTTAATGGATATGAGAGGTGATGAAGAGTGGATGCATGCATCTGTTTCGTGTCATCAATAACCTCCAGTGATTGGTTCTTAGCTTCCCGAGTATTCTAACCAACCATACAGTCTGTATCTCTCTACCTACCTGACTCAAACCAACTGTCAACATCTTTACACAAGAACTGTGGTGAACATTTTTATCTGACAGAGTATGGCCAAGCCAATCCATCTCAATTTCTTGCTGCATATTTGTTGCACAATCGGTTCCTGCTGGGTTGGTTCGCTCCCAGAGATCCCTCACTATTGCTGATCTTTTCTGGCCGGCCATCTGATCTTGAGTAGCATTGAGCGAAGACAGCTGTTGATGAAGGTGTGTAGTTTGTTCGAAGTGCTCATGACGCGCAAAGTCTCTGATCCGTATAATGAGTAGCACTGACTTCACATTGGAGTTGAAAATCCAGACCTTATTTTTGATGCTGAGTGTTGTTGACCTCCACACAGACTTGAGTGTAGTGAAAGCTTGTCTTGCTTTTCCGATTCTTGCTTTGATATCCTCGTCAGTACTGTCCGTCTGTAGTTGAAACGATGCTTCCCAGGTAGGTAAAGGAGGTTGTTTCTTTCAAGTTCCTCCCATTTATGCTGGCTGATTGTTGTCTGTTGTTGCTGTTGGTGGTGTTGCCCGGGAATCTTCATCACTTCTGTTTTGTCTATGTTCACCTGAAGTCCTATCTTTGATGCTTCTTCTGCCAACTTGTTGCTTTTCGCTTGCATATCTTCCAGTTTATGGGAAACCAGACATCTATCATCGGCGAAGTCCAGATTCTCCAAGTTGTTTTTGTGTGAGTCCATTCTATGTCTGTTTCCTCGTTGCCCGGCCCGCTGTCTGCCACATTATCCAGTCTACCGTAATCAGGGAAATCATTGGAAATGGTTGACAGCCAGCTTGTATTACCCCAGTCTTCACATCGAAGGATTGCGTGAGTTTTCCGTTGTGGATTACTTGGCATGCTGCATTGTCGTACAACTGTTGGATGAGATGTATAACTGTTAGCAGTACCCCATAGTAGCGAAATAGTAATTATCCATCTTGAAATAATATGCATCATGATGGCATAATACTAACCCTATTTCACTAGTAATTCTATCTACAAGGTAGGAGAAATTACACAGAGAAGACGTTATATCGCCGCCCTACTCTTATCTACTAACGGTTTACTCAAACGTGACATCAAAAGTGTTTTTCACATCACATCGCTTCGAAAGTGAAATCCACTTAACCAGTTATATCTATGTATTCCAGTTCATTAAGAAATGTGGATTTTCAAAAGTTCGTTGTTATAGTTTCGAATTTGTTCCAAATTTAATAACGGATTGATGTCATTTGGAGAACTTTTGGAAAAACCAGCAGGGAGTATTGGATAGGTGTTTCATCCTAGTGTATACGACTCTCCAACAATACTCACACCGGGCTTCGACTCCATGACCTTCAGGTTACAATACAAGCTCGTTGACTGCTCAACCACTGAGATCCAATTCAATCTTCGAAGTTCATAAATCCCAACTTCAACCGATTCGTAATTTTAGCGTGACTACAAGTCGATGTCCTCTCGTCCAACTTGTAGTCCCCCAGTGATCACAACTTCTCACTCTAGAACTCCAACCAACTTTGTAGTCAGTAGTTGTCAGTCACTCACTCACTAGTGAGCATCAGATAAATTTTCATGTGTTAGTTAGTTTGGATTTTACAAAAACAACAATTCTCTGCTTATGTACAGATTGTTCGGTTGGTTTCAAGATTCTTTCTTATGTGAGAATATGTATACTCGTCAAAAATGAATCGCATCATTTTATTTTTGGGTGACGTCATTTATCTATCCTGTGTATTATTTAACAATGTTTACTGAGCAATTGAAAGAATACCATTGAAGTTTGTAGATGTTACGTAATGCGTTATTTATACTTCATCTGGGTTATTATTATTATACAATTTCTCCTATTGGTTTCCGAGTGGCTGCAACAGCACATCTTCATTTTTATCCTATCCACTGTAGTCTTCTTCAATTGGCCTCACCATTATTTATCTTCTCTTCACACGATCTCATCTATGTCATCGTCGGACTAATGCCCAGCTCGTCGTTTCCCACTCGGTTGATTGTATGGTATTGAGCATGATGTCACTCAACGGTCACCTCAGCATGTGTGTACTCGATCCATCTCGACTTTCTGTGGGATATTTGTTAAACAATGGATTCTTCATTGGCTTGTTCTCATAGTTTGCTTGTTGTTAATCCTTTTCCAACTGACTGGCTATTCGATCTTCAATGTGGAGCGAATTCACTTGTTGAGATATGAGTCTGCAGTAGCCTGTCGGAAATGCTTTTTAGAAGAACTGGCTAACTGAACATTCGTGTTGGAAATCAGAATATTTTTTGTTTTGTTGGTGGTTAGTGCAACAGAATTTCAAATTGATTTCTTGGATGATGGTGTGTGTTCTTGTCTTTCTAATTCCAGTTTGTAGATTTTCACTCATGCTGTCGTCTGTAGTTGAAGTGATTCTGCTTGCTCAGATAAGTGAGAAAAGTTATTGGTGCTTTTCGTTGTTGTTGCTGATTGGTTGTTTGGTTATCTTCATCACCTCCGTCTTCTCTGTGTTCCCTTGAAGTCCTATCTTTGCAGCTTATCAATAAATGTGATAATAAATTTGGAAATATTGTGATTTTTTTTGCCTCCGTCGGTAATGATGATTTACCGATGTTTCTTGAATATCTTGGTTCCTGATAAATTGGTAATAAAGTCGTTGGAATGTCACCGTCTGCCACACATATTTCGCCTGTCATCATCTTCTACTGGTTCATGGGCTTTTAAAAAATGAAGCAAATCAAGTTTCGCTTCTCTCAGTAATAATCAATAGATGTTGAGAGTCGGAGATCATTCTGAATTATAACTTCTAAGCAATGGAGTATGGTGTACTTTATCATCTGGAAAGAAGGAGATGCCTAGACTCTCTACCCTCCCACCTCTCAGTTTCTTTGTATCTTCTTATTTCTGGTAGTACCAATAATCAATTCACGGATATGTGTTGGATGCAGGTCAACACCTTAAATTGCAGGACTTCAGGTTGTGGAACTTCACTATCGGTGGTGTTATTTTTGTTTTCTCTTTTTTCAACTAAAGGAGGTTCTTGGCCTTCTGCGTCTTTTTGGAGTTAACTACCTACGATCTAGTGAACTAGACGCGGGGGTGAGTGGGGTGTTTAGATGGAGTGTCTGCTGAAAACCGAATATAGACCTACTTCCCGCCCATTCTATTCATTCTTAATTACGTAACTGTACTCATGTTTCTTTTATCTGATATTTCAGATTGTTGATAGAATTGAAATATTGAAATCATGAACACAAGTGAACAAATTATTGATCGACCATTTATAACACCCGATGGGAAAATATGGCCAGCTAATGTTTGTGTTCCGTCAAAAAGATACTACTGCGCAAAAGTTAGTTGATTTTTTAAAATTTATTTATTTTACATTAATTAGTAAAGTGTAACAAATTTGCGATGTTATCTATACTTCTGATTTCGTCGTATTTATTGACCCTTCAGTAGTGCGATTCCACGACTTAGCAAGTGATCGAATCTGGGACCTTTCGGCCACTTTGGTTGGAATTGAATGACCTGCGAATAATTCTACCAATGCCTTCAATGAGTATCTACTTCATCTTGCCGTGGTATTGACCCCACTGGTCACAGGTTCGAGCATCATTGGTGAGGGAAGCGCTATATCGCACAAATTGACAGAATCAGCATTCTTATAAAGTCATTGGATTTCAGCTCAAGTGAATGAATGGTTATCGTAACAGGCTCGATTTGTAACCGGAAGGTCCTGGTTTCGAACTAACGAAGAGCCCCAAACACTAGGACGAAAGAGTTGTCCGGTACTCCCTGGTGGTTTCTGATGGTTTTCTGACTGATGTCAATTCGTAATAACTATAGGTCAGTTCTCTCTGTCATTGGAGAATGTAGTCATGTATGTGGTGACTAAGAGAGGAGGGATTCAAAGACCTGTAACATTTTTTAACTTCTAAGAATTCTCAGCATAGAATCACTTCATACAGGAAAGACAGTATGACGGAGAGAGAAAGAGTAAGCATTATAATTAGTATTCTGTGACCACAGTGCCCAAGGCTGGTCAAACACACATCCTATTTTGAAGTGGTTTTTCGGAATCGTGTCTGTAGGAATGTCTTATAGCCACCTAACAGACTGGCTTGCACTCCCTTTTCCAGATCAGAGAGACAGCTGTACGCTTGACGAAAACACTTAACTGTCGTTGGTAGTGCAACTTCGCGTTTTGTCGCCCAACACAGTGTGGGCGAAGCACTATTATAGTAGCTGATTCTAGTCTAACCCTTATCCAAATGTTCATTATAAATAATAATAATTACATAATGAAATTGCTTATCACATTCGTGTTGATTTTGTCATTTCTTGAGGAGTGGTGTAGGGTGTTGTAACCAGGTCAAATTCTGTTCTGAGTCCATCATTCCTATTCAGACAATTTGGATTCCACTTGATATGAGGTGCTTCTAATATACGACTTTCTTTGTGATTTCTGAAATTTCTCTGGATGATGATTTCAATATTGTCAAAATCAATTTTGTGACCTGATTCTATAGTGTGTAGGTCATCTATGGCTGATGTTTTTTGAAGCTTTTCTAGTTCAACTGGATTTATTTCTCAGTGGGCGAGCAGATGCTCCACGGTATTCATTCCTTCTGATTTTGATTTCTCTCTAGCGATGTTTGTCCAACGTTTATCGCATCACATTCCTAGCATTTTGTTTTGTAGACACAATTAGTTAGAGAATCTTTGAGGATTTGGTCTTTTGCTTTACAGTGTGTCTGATGCTTTGAAGAAAACTCTGATATCGAGCTTATTAAGTACGTTTCTGATATCGTCTGAAGTCTCTGCTCTATATAGAATGATGATGACTGTTGAGGTTCATGTTTTTGGAATACGTTTTCTGCCATACTTAATGTCAGTGTTGATTTTTGATGATGAAGTTCTTTGGGTAGTTGTTTTGCTTGAGAGTTTCAGTAATGTTTGATATTTCTTCTTATTTTTCTTTCTCATCCGTTAACATCAAAGAGTGTGGTCGTCTAAGAAGACTTGAAACAACTGATACCTTTGCGCTGATTCGGAGTCTAAATATTTGTCGTTGGAGTGGGTTGTCTTCTTGAATATTAATTAGATGAGCTTTTTGATGTTACAGAACTTTCAAGAATATTCATTCTAGCCAATGTAGCCCGTTAAGTGATTATTGTGATTGATATACAAAAGCTCGACCAAGACGTCGCCGAACTGGCTTAATCAGATGAGAATCCCTTGGCTCGAATTCTGTTCCACCCTACTTCATTCTGGATGACCAGGTAGAACTTCATGCACACAGACTCTATAATCTATTTAGTACATGAAAAATCTGCGTTCTCTCAACACAAATTCATTCAACTAGCTAAAGAAAGATATGCCCAAGTCTAGCTTTGACAACTGTAATTACGAACTTCGGATTGTGAGGGCGATTGTTACTTCCCGGCTGCCCACACCGCGGAAGTTGGTTGCGTGACCGCAGAGCCCAGGGGACAACTGCTTGAGGCCAGTCACACACGGCCTGTTTTTGTTTGTTGTTTTTCATTTGGTGTTTCTCAGTAGCACATTTATCACTTCTGCCTTGTGACACGGCAGCAGGAAGCGCGGTCGTTGTTAATCCGGGCCCCGACCGATCCGGCATGATATTTTGTGATTTACTTTGAGTCATATCATTGAGTTGGGTAACTGCTTTTTGTCTAACCGCTATCCAAACAACCTTTCTGGCATGGTAGGACCTACAGGAACATAAGTTCCAGCCAGTGTAGCTCGTTGGGTCATTGCGATATGCAAGCCCGACCACCGCGTCAAGGTAGCAGCTTTCGGTCGGGCGTAATTACGAACAACACTACGCAGTTGAAATTCTTCTTAATGGTACACTCTGAAATTGAGAAACTATTTTCTGAAAATACGCTCATGTGTATACATCACTGCATGTGACGATGATGCCAAAAGCATATTCGATTCCAGTCTGCACATGCTTAACAACATGTGATTCAAAACACACGAAAATGAGGTTTTTTAAAAAAAAAACTTACATGTGATGAATAGAAATATGAAAACCTCTTTTTAATTTATGTTTCAAATTTTAAAAAAAATTTAAATTTTATTTTGAAACAAAAGAAGGCGAACAGACAAACGTAATGTCTCAATCTCCGCGCTCCCCCAGCCACCCGTCGACACAAGGAAATATTGTTCCTTTTATCAATGTTAGTATTAACTCTGTTGGTGTGTATGTGTGTGCGTACACATGCATGTGGTATTCTTTGTTGGCAGCGACAGTGGCGGTAAAAAAACAATCCCGATGTCAAAATGAATTTTTGAAAATATCTAAATTTATCTGAAATGGAATTTTCTGCAACAAAAAAGCAAATAATTTGATGTAGTCATTAGTATTGTTGTTGTGTTGTGTAAGCTTAAAGGTTGAGATGGAGATTATTTTAGCGCTGATTTTTGAGTAACTGACTAATGAATAACGATTAAGTTGTTCTAGTGTAAGAAGTCGTGACGGGAAGGGGGCGACACCAATTCACAAGGACAAATACACTCTATGAAGACCTTGGCTGCTGGTGGAGCGCTGTAGTGGGTTTGATCCTTGATGATTGTGAGGTGGGTCACATGGGTGCGCACCGTACTGATAAAGAGTCCCAAATACGCAGACCAAACCATTCGTCTAACGTTCCCTGATGGTTCCCCGTGGTTTTTGTAACTGAAGTAGTCAGAGTGTTTGTGAGCAAAAGGGCTATAAGTGATTCATGCGGCCTTAGGCATAAGATTATACTATACGGATCAGAGACTTGGCCAGCGCGTCATAAAGAGCATCTCAAACAAACTACAGACCTTCATTAACAGTTGTCTTCGCTCAATGCTACTCAAGATCAGATGGCCGGTCAGAAAAGATCAGCAACAGGGATCTCTGGGAGCGAACCAACCAGGAACCAATTGTGACACAAATAGGCAGGAAGAAATGGAGATGGATTGGCTGGCCATACTCTGAGGAAACCAGCAAGTGACATCACTAGACAAGCCATTGCTCGAGTGGAACCCGAAAGGGAAGCGGTGAGTTGGTCGTCAGTGCGATGGTGGGGTGACTTGGAGGAGGTCATGTGAAGAGGAGATGAAAGCGTGTGGACAGACATGGAGCCAGGTGGAGACTCTGGCAGAGAACTGAACTCAATGGAGACGCACGACTGAAGCTCTATGTTCCTCTAGGAATTAAAGGAAACAATAATAATAATAAGCATAAGATTCTCTTCCATACTCTCTCACTTCAGTTATTTTTGTTTCTCTCTGTATATCACATGCCATGCATGCATGCATCATTAAAAATGTCCATTTTGGTTAATTCCTGTTTCTTTTCACAGTATACTAAAGATATGCTTATATCGAAGATAACTAAAAAGTGTTTAAAGCCGGATGATGGCAAACTCATCGATCTATGGGTGTTAACAAGGTAAATGTGCATATTCTTGTTTTTATTATTATTATTATTCCCTTTTTGCTCTGTTTGGATCATACAGCTTCAGTAGTGATAGGATCCCACACACTTTGTTATTGTTCAATTATCTTAATGACCGTTAATCTCGTATAAGTGGTATATCATCATTCCCACGCATTTTGTTATTGACTATTATGACCAATTATTTCAAATACTGTTAGCTGTCTGTATTGGTTGTAAAAATGTATAAATACCATTTCCTAAATAAGTTTCTTTGTCGTTGTAGTTGTTGTACTACAATACACAGTCACAGACCAGCTTTTGTCTTTTGATATTTGCGTGGTTCGTTGAATGGGAAGGTACCAGAAGCAGATAGGCATATTAGTCAGCCGCAGACAGAACAAGGCGACAACGTCCTCATTTAATTCCCCTACAGTTATAACAAGTAGCAGCAGCAGCAGCACACTTCTCTGTCTGCCTGGATTCAGCATAGAACTTGGCACCGAAGTGCAGCAGTTCGAGTTACCACGTTCCAAATAGCACACAAAGGTAGACAAGAAGATAAGTGAAGGGAATCAATAGAGTTTTGACAAGTATAAGAGTGAAACAGAATGAGTAATGGTAGAAACGAATATGAAAGATTACAGAGACTGAATACATCTGCGTAAGCCATTGACAAGGATTTTGAGCCATGTCACCTAGTGTCTCCAGCCATTGATTCTTAGAGTCCCGAGGGTGGGCCCCAACCCGGAAGTCTGCATCTCCCTCCCTACCTGACTCAGTTTAACTGTCAAGGATTTCATGGATTGATGAGGCCATGTTTTTGTTTGGCCACCACTTACTCTTTTCCAACCTGCACCTATATCAGCTAGTAATGCCCGTTGGGAGGGGGAGGCGATGGTTAGGCATGCGCAGCACGTGGCCTAGCCATCTCAATCTATGTAACTTTATAGCCTCTTCGATTGATTTTCCCTCTTTGCCCAACACTCTACGCCTAACGTCAACATTACTTACCTTATTATACCACCTAACGTGAGAAAGAGATCGTAGACATCTATGATCAAAAACAGTCAACCTTTTCATGTCTTCAACTCGTATTGGCCATGTTTCAGAGCCATAGAGAAGGACAGAGCGAACTGATGAGCAGTACACACGTCCCTTGGTTGATAGCCGGATGTCACGCCAGCGCCAGAGACGGTGTAAGTTAGCGAAAGCAGCTCGAGCTTTTTGTATCCGTGCTGAGATTTCGTCGCCAATCAGTCCATTGGTGCTGATGCAACTTCCCCAATAGGTGAAGTGGTCAACATGTTCGACCACTTCACTCCCTATCACTAAGCTAGGAGTTGACCTAGTCCAGTCCTGTAGCATCATCTTACATTTTACAGGGGTGTATCGCACAGCGGCACACTTTCGTTCCAACGTGTTTCCTGTAGTCATTTTTTTCATTCATGAAAAATTCCCATTCGAACATTAATAGACCTGTGTTCATTAGTTCAGCGAAGAGTCTTTTCGGCGGCGAATTCATTTTGCATAGCTGTACAATCGCAAATATTGTATATGGTTGTTTTGTATGTGTGTGTGTACATTAAATTTGTCAAACGAAAATACAATTAGTAAGTTCAGATGAATTCGTTGTTGATATAAGAGGGTAGTAACAAAAGTGATGAGTTGTCACAAATGGTTGTTAACTAAGAGTTACGTAATAACGTGAATAGTTTGATGAAATAGTTGTGCTCAGGGTATACATGGAAACAAAATTAAATACGGAATTACCTAAGAGTTTTAAGTAGTTAGAAAAATAAGCAAAGAAACCAAAGTTAAGTCAAATCAACAGAGTTGTTACCATGAGAGTAGAATTGGTTGAATAATTTTCTTTTGTATGCATAGTTCTGGTTCTTCCAACTGAATGGTTACGGATTCTGTGATGCAAAGAAGACGGAAACGTATTGTCTTTGGAAGGTTGTTCTTCACTTTGTAGATTACTTTGAAGGGGGTGGCAGGCGTTTGTTGAGATGGTATTGTGGTGAGAGCTGTCTACTAGCCAAGTGGTGGACAGTAATTGAGGTCAATGTTTATGTATCAAATATTAATCATGTTGTGGTGAGAGATGGTTGCTGGCCAAATTGGTTGACAGTAATTGAGGTCAAAGGTCAAGGTGGACAGGCGGTTACAGTTAACATATAGATGAACTGACACAGCCACAAGAGATGCAAGGTTAACTTTGTGTGAGAAACAACCAATCAACAGACTGTATTTTCTACTAACATTGACCTACAATAATGTACACAAAAATCTATAAATACGTGTTGATTTTTCGTAATAAACGATCTGTTGCCTGGCCCTTGTCTTCTGTTGTTACAGTATGACCAGTGGTGACGAGATGTTCGATTATTGCACTCCTTACACGGCCACTACTTCCTTTCTGCAGCCACGCCGGATAGTGTTCTTTGACCCTTGTTGACAGGATGCACGTTGAACGATCGGTGTACCTGGCTGGCTCCACAGCAACAGGTGAACTGATATATACACACATAGAAGTGGTCAGGTGCGGGATCTTGTCCTTTGTTTGGGCTGCTGCAAACCAGCGGGCGACTGGAGAACATTACTCTCAATGTTGCAGCAAAGGAAGTTCTTTTCCAGCTAGCTAGCTACCTTCATAATTGCCCTTAAGGTTACATCTTATCCATGTCACCCTGGGAAACACGTGATACGGGGTTTTTTTCTCACTCTAGGGCTTGACTGGTATGTGTTGTTGTTACGCAACGTTGTTAATATTGGTCCCATTGCCAGAGTTCTTTATTGCTATCTATCTCAGCTGCAGCATGCTGGTGGAGGCAGCAAACACAACAGTTGATGTAAAAAGTCTTTTTATGCAAATGCTTTTCCTAACGTGTGGGACAAGTCTTTGAACCGTGTAGGAGTCAATGACTAACTGTACATTAGTTTTGAAGATCCTAAATGCCTGTCCGACTGACTCTCTTACTTTCTCAATGCTTCTTTCTACCTCTTATATGTTTTTGTGTTAGAACACACCCTATCCATGGTGTTATTGATTTTTAAAAAAAATGCTTAAACATTCAACTTTCAAATCGTAAACCATCATGAATTTGATTGAACTCCGTTCTATGTATTCATAAAAAAATGCTACCATGATTCCTTCGTTTAATAAGTGTGACGCACTGCATCATTCTTGTAGGAGGTTGTAAGTACAGTATTACGCAATGCTAACAGTTGTTCAAAATGTGTGGGTGTCTTGCTCTATTATTGTATTATTGTTCCCTTGGATTCCTAGTGGAACACTGGGCTTCAACTGCATGTCTCCATTTACTTCTGTCTTCTGCTGTACTTTTCACCTGCATCCATGTTAGTCCATACTGTTTCATCTCCTCTTCACATGATCTCTATGTCACCCTTGGACGTCCCACTCGCCGCTTCCCTTTCAGGTTCCACTCGAGGGCCTGACGCGCGATGTCACCCAACGGCCTCCTCAGCGAGTGTCCAATCCATCTTCACTTTCTCCTGCATATTTTTGGGCGATTGGTTCTTGTTTTGTTTGTTCCCAAAGTTTCTTGTTGGTGATTCTTTGCGGCCATCTGATCTTCAGTATAGAGCGAAGACAGTTGTTGATAAAGGTCTGCAACAGGCTGTTGGAAATATTCTTTGTGACCCTCCAAGTTTCTGATCCGTATAGAAGAACTGACTTGACGTTTGTATTGCAAATTCGAATTTTGTTGTTGATGCTGAGTTGGGTGACGAAGATTTCCAGATTGGTTTCAGGTTGATGAATGTGTTTCTCGCCTTCCCGATTCTCGATTTGACATCGTCGTCCGTCCGTTTCTCCTGTAGTTGAGTCAATGCTCCGTAGATAAGTGAATGAAGTGACCTCTTTCAAATCCCTCCCGTTGATGGTGATTGGCGTTGGATATTGCTGCTGTTGTTGGTGGTTGGTTATTTTCATAACCTCCGTCTTGTCTATGTTCACCTGGAGTCCTGTCTTCACTGCCTGCTTCTTCGACCAGTTTGTCAGTTTTCGTTTGTAAGTCTTCGATTTTGTGTGACATCAAACATAAATCATCCGCGAAATCCAGGTCTTCTAGGTTCTTCACGTCGGTCCAGGATATCCCTGTTTTCTCGTTTCCCACTGTCTGACGCATAACCCAGTCCACCACAATTAGGAATATCATTGGTGATAATAAGCACCCTTGTCTGACTCCTGTGTTTACTCCAAACGCCTGGCTGAGTTTCCGTTGTGGATCACTTGACATGTACCGTTGTCGCACAGCTGTTGAATTAGGTCGATGAATATTTGATGTACGCCGTAGTACTTGAGTAGTTTCCAAATTACTTCGCGGTCAACATTGTCGAAGGCCTTCTCAAAGTCTATGAAGTTGAGGTAGAGGTTTGATTGCCATATTCCACATACTAACTAACTTTTTTTAATAATCACATACCTAAAAAGAGAATAGATGATTACGTAACGAGTTTATTGATCGATTGGCTGATAATTTATTAGTCTGTGTTTGTTTGTGTTTTACTGGCCTAAATTTAATAATGTTTGTCTGGCTGAGATATTATAAGTAAGAAATAAACACACCTTCATAATAATAATGATAATAATAACCCACATCTCCAACCAGCTTGTATACACACAATTGATACACACGCACATACACGTGCTGTTCTCTGTCTCTTTACATTGCTCATATACTATTATGGTTGTGAATGAAAGTCTCTATCTGTCTATCTAATTTGTCTAATTGCTTGCTACTTGGCTAGTTGTCTAGGTGTAGTGCACAAATCACGTGTGTTACGACATCGTTATCACCAAATTTCACAGACGAAAATCGTTATTATTATTACTACCATTTTCTATAGTTGGTTTGTAAGGATTAGTTTTGTTTTTATATGAGTTGATCGCGGATTGATATCAGTTAGAGAACCATTGAAAACCAGCCACAGGGAGTACTGGATAGGTGTTTCCTCTGTCCTAGGTTGGGAATCATCGGGAGTATGCACCCATCACCCAGGTTCGAACCCAGAACCTACCGGTTACAAGGCCAGTGAGCTCGTATGCCATTCAGTCACTGGGACCCGATTCAATGGCCCATGGTCCTGGGTTCGAACCCCAGTGGGTGTGTACTGCCGATGATTATTATTATTGTCAGTGAGTTATGGAAATATTTTTTTTCCTACAATTTTGTCTACTATATTGATCTAAAATTTAAATAAATGAAACATATTCGTTCAGCAATTTAAAAAAAAACCCACCAAATAAAAGGCATTATGATAATTTATGTGAGTGAAGAACTTGATGAGCACTGTGGTAGAAAATGTAGTTTCATGTTATGAGAGATAATTTTATTTCAAATATCATACAGTGGGCAAGGTAGTATTGATTAGTGGATGATCAGGTTTCGTGCATTAATTATTGCTGCTTATAATCATATCAATTGAGTCACATAGCTTTATAATTTGTCTTATGTATGTCTTTCTCTCTCTATCGCCTGCGTCCTATCTTTCGTGTGAAATGGTACAATATGGCGAGCAATATTTAGGCTGGGCGTTGATCGAGTGCTAGGTAAAGAGGAAAAATCAATAGACGAGGTTGTGAAGTTACATCGACTGAATGAGGTGGTTAGGACGTGTGTTACGCATGCATCTCTGGCATCGATCGCCTTCATCGACGGTCAGTGTTAGCTGACGTAGCATCAACCAGGTTGGAAAAGAGCCAGTGGTGGTCAAACCAAAACATGGCTTCATCAGTCAATGAAATCCACAACAGTTATTTAAAGCTAGCCATGTAGGAAGGTGTAGACTTCCTGGGGTCCTCAGGATGGTAAGGAGCAATGGTTGCTAGAGACAATTGGTGATATTGCTGGTTCAAAATCCTCGTTGTCAATGTCTGGCTCAGATGCATCCACTCCTTTTGACTTATAATTTCCAATAAAACGATATTGTTTTTCTACCACATTACTATTCTTTTTGCCTCATATCTCCTTTTACTGTTTCTATTTTGCATTTCTTTTACTTTCTTCTCTTGCTTTGTGTGCTAAGTGAAGTGGAGCGTCTCGAACTGCTGCACATCGGTGCAAAGTTCAATGTTGAAACCAGTCAAGCAGTCAGTCAATTTTTCTCTCTCTCTCCAACTTCGGCCTTGTTGTTTGTTGCCACTTTCCATATCTCCAGGATAGGCCTTTTGCATCATTCCCATTCTACATGTGCGGTGTTGTCTTGACACGCTTGTCAGTTATATCTCCTCTTGTAACCCAAGAACGTGGTCGTTTATTTTCGGAGATTTTCTTATCCTCTTCTTCACTGGTTGTATATTGGCACTACTTTGATTCTACCAACCATTATTAGTAGTGTAACAACAGAAGACAAGGGCCAGGCAACAGATCGTTTATTAAGGAAATCAACACATTTTTATAGATTTTCATGTACATTATGATAGATTATTGTAAGCAAACAAACACAGTCTTCTGATTGGTTGTTTCTCACTGAGAGTTAATCTTTCATCTCTTTGTGGCTGTTTCTTGAAGTTCAGATTTATTATCTGCTGATTGTATCCGCCTACGCAAAGTCTGCTGTCCATCTTTGATCTTGTTTTCACATGACTAATATTTGGGACATAAACATTGACGTCGATTATTGTCTACCAATTTGGCTAGCGGCCAGCTCTTACCACAGTAGTAGTAGTTACCCAGGTTGATATCGATGTGATGGGAGTGTACAACCTGGCATCAAAATTGACTTCAATTCGAATGATTAAGCCAATAATTCAGTTTTTTATGCTTCCACTACTCACATCATTTCTTTGCCTCTCCCTCACCAACCCGCCCCCCTTTTTATTTGTTTCCTTTTTGTTTTCCCCTTTATAGAATTAATCATTGGGATCATGAAATTGAGACTACTGTCTGCCTAACAGATAATTACCTCATGCTTATTAATTTTAATTTTATCAATGAAGAATGTACAGCCAATCGGATTGATTTAAAGTCTATCAAAACTATACGCATTGGTAATCTTCTACAACCGAATTGGTCTGTATTACCGTAAGTATTCTAATTATTATTATTTTGATCCTCCACGTTCCGAGTGTAACATGAGGGGCCAAACACCACATGTTCTCTCTTTGCCTCGCTTACTTGCTGGCTAAGCCAGGCTAATTAGAAATGCGTCGGTCGGGAATCGAACGCTGGACTAAATGCGTTTCCCTGTAGATTTTGTCGCAAAGCAATATCACACACAGTTATAGAGAGATCATCCGACAACTGTTTTGTCCTGGTTTAGGACTCTTCATCAGTGCGCAGTCAACACTGCACCATTGATTGAATCAGTAACTTTCAGGAGGTATGCCGCCAAGTTCTTTTACAATTCAATCACTCAGAAATTCTCACTTTGTCAATTCTTGATGTAGTTCTACTGGCAACCACACGAAGGAGAGGATCTATGAGCATCCATATTCATCTTGATATAGTGTGATAGAAAAGTTTACAGTTCACGGATGAATGATCAAAGGACTTTGCCTCGTGATCCTTGTGAAGGTCGGTCTTGGGCTTAATCCCTCGCGGGGTAATGTGAGTACACAGTGTTGGACAGTTGCAAACTATGATGGAACAATTGTGCAGTACTCCCTGGTTTTCAGTTATTCCCCCCTCCTAATTATTTGTGACGATTTGTTGAAAATTACAGTAGTTTAAGTTCGTACACATAAAGGTAGAGAAGACTGAACACAAGGAACCAACAGTTCAGTGAATCAACGCACCTAACACAATATATACAATAGAAGTGACTCATCATCGCTAATACCAGAGATATGGAAGACATTATTACCACGATTCAAATCAGAGGTGGATAATAAATAGTGTTAAAATGTATGTATTCAATTCACACATTTTAACATTCTAACAAGTTATTTATTTATTTAATTTACTATAAAGACATCTTATTTCCCATCTTATTGTACTTTACTGATAACACTGATATTATTTCTGAATGTACATTATCTTATATTAATTTTATTCAGATGTCTAATCAGTGAAATAGCACTAAGTAGCACAAAAAAGGCCTAAACGTTGAAATGAAACAGATAGAAGAATAGCTGGTTGGTGTCAAAAAACTAACTATCCTATAAAATTCATTAGGAAGATCAGAAAAGGTCAAAATAAAAATAATGGTTAAAGTAATAATGATAACATAAATAAGAGGGAATATGAGGCATCTCCAATAGTTTAACCATATTTATTATTTATTTATTTTATTTATTTTGATTTACAGCTTGATTCCACACCGTATTTTCAGTACAAGTGTGGAATTTTCAGCATGGATATCGGTAGCCCAAATTCAGGCTGACCATAGATATCGGATGTGCGCCGGCAGGGGATCGAACCCCGGACCATGTGCATGGTCGGGGACATCTGAGACCCTACCCTCGTTACATTGAGTTCTCAATAAAATAGGAATTAGACTGGCATTCAAACCATCCTACAAACTCACTCAGGTGAGACAACCTCTGTAGGCTAAAGGACACTGTAGGTTGACCCAGTTAAGCAAAATAATATAATTCACAAAATATCTTGCAATGACTGTGAGATAAGTCAACTGCATAGGTCATAGGGGAAACTAGTAGATCAGGCAGGAGTAGTGAGATTGGCTGTCAGAACATAAGAATTTAGTTAAGGTTAGAATGATTGAGTCCACCCACGAAGATGAGTAATTTAGAAAAAAGCTCAGCCATTGCACTGCATGCATTAGCATCGCATAACCACACAATAGGGTGGGTTGGACAGGGTCAACAATCTAGAAAGTAATATAGGCAGGTGGAGAGAGAGAAAGAGAGATTGATTACTGAATCCTGCTTGGTTCATCGAGTCTACACCCAACACAACACATGCAATAGAAGTGACTCATCATCGCTAATACTAGAGACATGGAAGATATTCTTATTACCAGTCAAATCAGAGGAGGATAATAAGTAATCTTAAAATTCTTTTTCAATTCACATACATCATAACATTCTAACAAGTTATTTATTTATTTATATTACTATAAAAACATCTTATTGACTAACAACACTCGTCTTATTTCCCAAACTGTTGTGTTTTATTGATAACACATTAATAGTGGTTCCAAATGTACTTTATCTTCCTTATTGTATCACGCATGTCTTATATTGATTTTATTCATCAAATGTCTAATCGCATCAATTTTTACTCATGTATATAATAAACGAAGTAAGAAAATTTTGTGAGTAATGCCTTGGTATGATATGACGACGATGAGTAATAATAAATTGTGCTCGAAACGTGTGGTCATTATCAGTAAATATTACTTACTGTATAACACACACACTGTGTGATTTTATCAAAATAGAAATTTTATCGAATAAAATTCTCCACAATACACACTGGTTTATTATTGCCTCTCTTTCTTTTGTGACGTAAAACTTTATCTCTCTAATATTTGATATTTTTGTGTGTGCTGTTGAACGTTTCTTTATATATACGACTACTGTAAAAATAGAAGGCAAGATTCGGAAGTCAAGGTATACTTTTCATTAATCAAACCGCTGTTTATATTAGTACAGTTTATATTCGATAACTGAGTGTGTGATTTTGGTTTACATCAAACAACTAGAACTAGAATTTAATTTGTGGATATTGACTGGCAGTGGAATCCAGGATAACGCGCATTTCGTCCTAATTGGGACTCGCCATCTGCACGTACCTACATTTCCCAGTGAGTGATGAAGTTCCCACCGAGGCTCGAACCCACTAATGGGTAACGCTATGGTGTTTGAAACTATGGGCACTGGGTTCGAGCCTCGGTGGGAACATCATCATTCACTGTGGAATGCAGGTATATCCAGATGACGAGTCCCAAATAGGACGAAATGCGCGTTATCCTGGATTCCACTGCCAGTCACCATCCACCACTTACAGTAAGACTGACTTAGTAATTTAGAGGACGTTATATAGTTGACTAAACCGTTTCAACTTAGGTCAGGATAGCAACAGAGGTAATTACAGGTTGAGACTAAGTAAAGGTGGGGAAGAGAATAATGCCATTGAAATAAGGACTAAAATTGACCAAATGAATTGGATGACGTAACATAAATGACTAGAAATTGAGCGTTGGTCAAGTCAAGTCAGTAACAGTGGTAACGAGGTGTAGAAATTAAATTGGGTGGGGATAGAGAAGAGGAAGATTGAAAATGTAAAATATCACAATTGAAAAGGCAAAATAATACGAATGAAGAGATAGAAAGAAAGAAATAGAATTTACCTGTTGGGTATTAAGGTAGATTACGTCGATTGCAAGTGTAGTGATTGAACGAACTTCTGTATGGAGAGTTCAGAACTTATCAAGTGAATTGCCATTGGTTCCTGATAGCATCCCACGCATTTGTTATTGTTCAATTATCTTAATGACTGTTAATCTCGCATATGTGGTATATCATCATTTCACACGCATTTTGTTATTGACTATTACGACCAATTATTTCAAATACTGTTAGCTGTCTGTATTGGTTGTAAAAATGTATAAATACCATTTCCGAAATAAGTTTCTTGTCGTAGTTGTTGTACTATAATATACAGTCACAGACCAGCTTTTGTCTTTTGATATTTGCGTGGTTCGTTGAATGGGAAGGTAGCAGAAGCAGATAGGCATATCAGTCAGGCGCAGACAAAACAAGGCGATAACGTCCTCATTTAATTCCCCTACAGTTATAACAGTCCCACTGTTTGAAGAAGTCTGATTCGTACACTTTTAGGAAGACTGCTTCGTATCCTGTAGACGACTTTGAAGTTTGTTTTGGTTGTAGCTTGGTGTCGGGAATCTATCAGACGTCCTAAGATAGAGCTGCGGGGGCGTCGTTTTTCTCCTTTGTAAAACCATGCTGGTAAGTGTTCGCTGATACGTTTGAATAACGAACGCTATCATCTAGTTGATGGTTTTGTCAAGTGGTCAGTCTATGGTTGGCAAAAGTTGACGTCTGTTGTTTTGACTGTACATAAGGAGAGTTTTGGATGCCTGTGATTAGTAATTCTAAAAGTGCTTTCATCTCCTTTAATAACCGCAGAATTAAAACAAAAATATGTTAAACAAATTGAGAAGGAGTCATTCATATCGATTTTATGCCAAGACATATTATAAAATTAAAACAATTTAGTCCCTTTGATAAATTTTGAACGAGGCATTCAGAAGACAAATTTCGTAGTTTCTGTACAGTCGCTTTACAAACTAACATAATTCACAATAATCAAATAAAATGAAATGCATGACTATTACTCAGTTATATAAAACAAAAGTGCATACTAATGATCAGTCATATTTTGAAATAGGTCAAGTCCCCATTCTACGCCGCTATTGCTTCCCTCAGATCTCGCATAATTTCGATCCCCGCATCTAAGACTAAAGGACGAAATTCTGTGGACTCTACTTCGAACTGTATCTATAATAATAATAATAATAACATCTTTATTCTGGACAGTATTTATAAAATGTACACAATTTTCAGTGGAGTGTATTGCATGATATTTTCCCCCTTCGTACAATATTTTCAAGTAAAATATCAATTAACTGACAGTATATCCTTCCTGTGACACAATGGCCCCTCAGCTAAAGCACAAACCATTCCATTGTGATGATATATCTGCTTTGTCTCCTTCCTCCAAGAAATTCACGATATCTGGTTGAAAGGCAATTGTAAGATGTTTCGAGGTATATTTCGAGACCATAGATGAAGAACAGTTGTCTCATGTATTGTAACACGTCAACACCCATAATCACGCCTTTCTTTAGGTTTAATAGGAACTTGTAAATCAGACAGCAGCTTGTGAACATTTTCAATACACACACAAGAGTAGATAATACCCCTATTAAAGGTCAAGACTTAATCGATTAGAACAAACTGAACGAGTGTGAAAATATATGCAATAGAGAGAAGGAAACTTTTGGTAGTCCAGGCTGCCTCCACCTGGACAGTTGTGGTGACATATAAATATATATATGTATATAAGTAGGACAAAGAGAATCTGCTGAGGTCTTCATTGAGAAGAATGTGTTCCTAAAGGGTTATTACTAAGTCAAATAGAAGAGTAATTCCATAATGGATAAGATTTTATTTTGATAAATCACACAGTGTTGTACAGTTATATTAACTGATGACGTTTCGACCACAAACTATTGCCACTCATAATCATATCAAGTCACTCACACAACTTCTTTCCTTCATTTATATACGTGTGGAACTGACTAGATATTGGAATAATCCTTATTCATCGAGTCTACACCCAACACATGCAACAGAAATGACTCAATGCAAATAACAGAAATATGGAAGATATTATTACCGCCGGTCAAATCAGAAGAGGTTGATAAATAATCTCAAAATTCTATTTCAATTCAAGCATATCACAACATTCTAACAAGTTACTTATTTTGACTATACAAACACTCGTCTTATTTCCCATCTAATTATAATGGATCAATAACACTCTTATTATTATTTCTGAATGTACTTTCTTATCCTATATTGAATTTTATTCCAATATCTAATCGATTCCACACATGTATATAAACGAAGGAAAGAAGTTGTGTGAGTGACTTGATATGATTATGAGTGGCAATAGTTTGTGGTCGAAACGTCATCAGTTAATATAACTGTACAACACTGTGTGACTTATCAAAATAAAATCTTATCCATTATGGAATTATACTCTAACACAGTGCCCAATTTTTATACTTATATCAAATAGAAGAGCTAAATGTACTTCAGTTGAATAGAAATCCACGGAAGTCAAGGTATATTTTTCATTAATTAATCAAACCGCTGTTTATATTAGTACAGTTTATATTCGTTAACCAATCAATTCGTAAACTGAGCGTGTGATTTTGGTTTACATCATACGATGTGAAATAGAATGTTCAAATATACATATGTATAGTATTCTGTTGTTAATGCAGTCCGTATATATAACCGTGGGAAATGTATTCTGTCTCTAACATCAAATAGAATGTTCAAACATATATATTGTATGCGGTGTTGAACTGTGGGAATGTGTGATCCTAATATTCCGTTGGCAGACATTGTCTGTATCACACCACCTGATAGGATTCCACACACTTTGTTATTGTTCAATTATCTTAATGACTGTTAATCTCGCATATGTGTTATATTATCATTTCCCAGGCACTTTGTTATTGTTCAATTATCTTAATGACTGTTAATCTCGCATATGTGGTATATCATCATTTCCCACGCATTTTGTTATTGACTATTACGACCAATTATTTCAAATACTGTTAGCTGTCTGTATTGGTTGTAAAAATGTAAAAATACCATTTCCTAAATAAGTTTGGTATTAGATGGTTGGAGGCAATCGGCAGGAAGCCTTGGACCTAGGTTTCGTGCTAGTTGGCACTCTTCAGCAAGGCGTATCTGCAACCTTGAAGGAACTGATGTCCCTTCTGAGATTCGAACCCGCGTCACCCAGTGCTGCAGTCAGAGACGTTACCACTGAGCTGTTCAGGCTCGCGACTGACCTCCTGTAGGACTGTATTGGGTATTTTTGATTGAACACTGACTAGTGTTCAGAAGGGACATCAGTTCCTTCAAGGTTGCAGATACGCCTTGCTGAAGAGTGCCAACTAGCACGAAACCTAGGTCCAAGGCTTCCTGCCGATTGCCTCCAACCATCTAATACCAACAATTCACAGTGCACCGTAATGGCGAGCCGCCTTGCATGGTGGCCACATTGCAAACATGACTGATAGAATTCAGTCTGCACCGAGCATAGGACTAGACACATTACACTAGTTACTGACTAGTGTTCAATCAAAAATACCTAAATAAGTTTCTTTGTCGTAGTTGTTGTACTACAATACACAGTCACAGACCAGACTTTGTCTTTTGATATTTGCGTGGTTCGCTGAATTGGAAGGTACCAGAAGCAGATAGATATATTAGTCAGGCGCAGACAGAACAAGGCAACAACGTCCTCAGTTTAATTCACCTACAGTCACAACACAGATACAGTTAGCATATAGATGTGACATTCAAAAAACAGTCACAAAGAGATGAAAGATTAACTTTCAGTGAGAAACAACCAATAAACTATCTGTTGCCTGGCCCTTGTCTTCTGTTGTTACACTACTGCTACTACTGTAACGGCAGGGGACAAGGGTCAGGCAGTAGATCGTTTATTGAGAGAATCAAGAGATATATATTTTCATGTACATTATTATTCGGTATTGTAAGCAAAGAAATAACGTCTTCTGATTAAGTGCTTTCCTGCTGAAGGTTATTCTGTCATCTCTTTGTTACCGTTTCTTAGACAGTCCGGTGATATACATCTGCTAATCGTATCCGCCCACGCTAAGTCTGCTGTGATTGGTTGTTGAGATCCTCAAGGTTAGGCTTTGATCTTGTTTTCTCCCATGACCCTGATTTGGGACGTAAACATTGACGTCAATTGTTGTCAACCAAATAGGCTAGCAGGCAGCTCTCACCACATACTAACGTGAAGCAATTAAATATCCCATCTTTAACAGTCAGATCGACGATGCGAAGACGAAGGCAGAAGAATAGAGAGAGAGGGCGTCATGCGAAATGATGCCACAGAGAAATGAAGTCAAAACCAACAAAATCTATGAAGATAGATTGCAATCAACCATGAGAGAAAACAACATTATATTGATCAAAGTGTACGACGCCAACTTTATCTTCGCATCCACAAACATCAAACCGGTTGTCAAAAGACATGATATTGATTTTTTAATATTTTGAATAAAGCAAGAACAAGAGTGATTTGTGCAGAACAAAATGGTACCATCCTTTGTTTATTTCATCGGCTTCTTTCTCATCATCTGCTTACATTTTAAAGACATCATCATTAGGTATATCTACAGAAACAATTTTAACATGCTTACACAGATTTAATTTCTAAAGAAAGAATCGATCAATCAATCAGTATATGCGTACAATTCCAATGATAATAATAAACAGTTTATCCCGAAAAATAATGATTATTAACAGTGGGAACTTTCGGCATTACGTAATCATATGAAAGAGAGGATGAAAACATCCAGTTACCAGGACGGCAAGGCAAGGCTGATAACCACTACTTTCTGAACGCAAAAATCAGGTTCCAAACGTTTGATGACGATTGCCTCGGCAAACTTGAGGAGAATTGAACTGTTTTACCTATTGATAATTTTGAAGGATCTTCCGATGTCCACCTCATGACCCGTGTCATGAAGATGCCTGGCGATGACTTATAAATCTTGTCAGTCTTTTCAGTATACGTCACAATACCGACTATTTTTTTCTTTTTCTTTATTTTATTCTTATTCTTTTAGCGAACGTAATTATGGTGCTGTCCAATTGATTTGGGGTGATATTCAACAGACAAAATGGTTAGATCGTTGGAATCCAGTGTCAAAAGATGTTCCAATGACAATATTACATCATCATCCGTGTTTTTATTCACCTGAACTGCTGCCGAATAAAGATCTATTCGATGTTGATCTGGCGTTGTCAACTATTTCTACTGCATTGTCTACATTAGGTGTTCAGGTTAGTTTTGATGCGCCATTCTCCCTCATTTTATTTCTTCTGTGGATGTTTATGTACAAGTATATACTACTGACATGATTGGGATGAGTAGTTGTTGTATACCATCACTCACATCAACTAGTAGTGCTTGCCTGTTAGCCAGATCGAGGTGATCCAAACACTGGATGTCCATTTCTTTCGTTTAGGACCGATCTTATCATCGCTGTACCCTGTGTTTTTTAATCATATATTCACCCTTCGACATATTTAGGAACATAGACATACTTACCATCTGGAGTTCAACAATTGCCATATTTCTTGGACTGAAAGCGGCATTGTCTTCCGTCGATCGAGAGGTACTATGCCGATATTTGACTGTGAAGGGGATGTCGAAAAAATACATTTCACTGATCAAGACACTCTTCTCGAACTCATGCAGTCAGCCAGGTGAGAGCTTACGGAGAGTAGTTGTCATCTGAAGTGGTGACAACCAGTGTTAAAGATGTACACTATCCCCGTTTATGTTTAATTTCATGATAGATGTACTGATGGAATTGACTGTAACTGACTTCAGCGACTAAGGGATTGACTTGTTACCACCAGGGTATGAATAATCTCGTTGACTTAGAATATGTGAGGACTCTGAGAAAATACAGCAGAATCTTCTGAACACCTTGAGCTGAGTAGCAATCATCGAATGTTTGGCATGCGACTGGCTCCCTGTGTCGAATGTAAAATGATGCAACTGGACTGGACTATATCGGCTGCCAGCTTAAATATAGAAAGTGAAGTGGTGGTTGAGCGCGTTGACCACTTCACTTATTTGACAAGTTGCACTGGCTCTCAATGGACCGATTTCTGAAGAAATCTCAGCATGGATACAAAAGGTTCGTGTGGCATTCGTCAACCTACTTCATCTCTGATGTAGACGTAATATCCGACTGGCTTTCGATCAAATGATGTGTCTACTGCTCAGCAATAGTTCGCTACGTCTTCCTATATGGCTGTAAGTTTTTTTTTGTTTTTTTCCTTCACGTTCCCAGTGGAACATAGGGCGCCTTCAAGCTAGAGGCTTGCAGTTTCCGTAGCAGTGGTGTTTATTTTTACAGGATGGGGTTGCTAGCCTCATACCCAGCCTTTCCTCTTTACCGGCTTTTTATTACTGGTTTGGACAGGTGAAAGAGTGCGTCGGTCGGGTATCGAACCCCGGACCACTGTGCCACCGACGCACACGGCTGTAAGTGAGACATGGCTATTAAAATGTGGAAGATATGAAAAGCCTAGCCGTTATTGATCATACGTTTTATCTCCCTTGTTAGGTGGTGTAGTAGTGTGTGGGTAATACTGAAGTTTGGCATGAATTGTTAGGTAAGGAGAGATAATCAATCTATGAGTTTGTGAAGCTACACCGACTAAGATGCATAGGATACGCATGTTGCGAATTCCTGACCTTCACCTTCTTCTTCTTCGATGGTCAATGCTGTAGGAGAGCTAGTGATGTTAGAACAAAAACTCGGAATCCGTCCATAAATTGTTTGACAGTTTATTTGAGCCAACCATATAGGGAGGTGTAAGCTTTGTTTGAATCAAACAATTCCAACAGTGGTGTGAACACGGGCAGTAATTTTGCTCGAAATATTACCAATAACAAAACTTATCATTGTGTGTAAACTATTGAAATATAATTATACTTTATTAGACACTAGTGAGTCTATGATATCCTACTGTGTGCTATTTCTCACCCCCCCCGTCTTTCTGTGTTTTTGTATTTACTAGGTGGAAGTTGAGTACGCCAATATTTGTTTAAATTCACACGTCAATTTCTTCACTGTCGTCTATAATCAAAGTAATCTGGGATTTTGTAAAGATCGTAATGGTGTCAGCTTTTAGAAAGACAATGTGTAACTGACGTCGTCCTCTTCCTCGCAACACACACACACATATCATAGAGCCTTATTCATTTTGTGATACTTACTCAGGGATGACAATCCTCCATGAACACGCACCCATGCACACTCACAAACGCTTAGACATGCACATATCAGTGAGTATTTTGTTTTGTGTTTGAGTTGTTTTCAATTTGTTATTGTTGTTGCCTTTATTACTCCCTCCCTCGCTTTCTCTATCTCTTTCTCTCAGGGACAATCAATTTTATCGATTTTTTTGTTTTCACCAATTGATTTTTTATTGAGTATCATTTTGCACACTTTTTCTATATTCTTTATTACTACAATAATAATAATACTAATATATCACCCTAGATTAGATTAGATTGCATATTAATAGTTGACACTTTATGACAGGCTGTGACAAGATATATATATATATATATATATATATATATATATACATATATTCACCTTATTAACATCATTATACTAGACAAAATAAACTATTTAATGTAACTGGGTGCCAAAAACGAGTCAAGTACTTCTCCCTTTTTTCGTCACTCGGATGTTGTAATTGCGCAAGGACAAAAATGTTTAGCCAACGGATTTTGTCTTCCTCTTCTTGAGCTGCGTACACCACAAAATAAAAAAGAACAACTTCTATCTTCATACTGTGTCTGTTAACAAAGTTATTGATAGAAAGGATGGAAGGAAGGAAGGACTAAACTGTGAGAAGTAATTGCCACTCCGAAATACCTAATGTGTTGTTCTTGTTGTTGTTGGTTCATTGGTTATAAATGCTGCGTGTTTATGCCAAGCGAAGGAAGTTCCGGTTGAACTTCATGCCAGTAACGCACTCTTGAATTTGGTTGGCAGTAAATCCTTGATAGAAGAGGGGAGGGGAGGGGAAAGTTGGGGGTATATATATATGCAGCTAGTACTAGTGAGATTTTGAAAGCTCTTGAAGTCACAAAACGCATGATATAACTAATTAAAATAATGCTAATAATAATAAAGTCTTGAGAGGATTGACTGTTTCTAACAGGTAATTAAACAAGTATTCTTGAAAAAGTTCAGGAGGATGACGGCGTCAAAGTTTAAATAAGACTATTGGCTACAAGAAACAAGGTTGGACTGGACTAGAAAAATCTAGTCTAACACCTTAATAGTTCCTTCCTTACCTCTACCAATCAATAACTCTGTTGCTGTTGTTGTCAAATGGGATTAAAGGGTGAGCAATTTGAGAGAATCGTCGTCGAAATACTAACACACACACACACAAGTGAAATACAAATCAGGTCAAATGAATTGTCAGTCAAATTAACTGTGCTACATTTGGTGTGTGTGTGTGGTTCTCAGCTTTTCTCTCTTTCTCCGTCTCCCCCATCTGCCTCCAGCTACCTCACTGCTCTGTACATCTTAGACGTCTCCAGTATCATTGTGATTTAGATTCTCTAGTGTGTGTGTGTGTGCTTTTTCTGCGTGTTTGTTCATTCTTTCTATCTTTCTACTCACATAATAATAATAATAGCCATAATGAGATACCCCACCGTTGTCTTTCTGTCCTTTTTTCTATTATTAAATTGCACAATCATTAGTAAAAATATTGATTTTGTTTTTTTTGTGAATTTCATGTTTAATGCTGGTATTTGTTTAGTCAATACATGATGTATTCTCCATATCTTGTCTGGTTTTTGTTTTAATGCATACGAATGAAAAATGTAGCTCCATTTTTAAATTCTATTGAACATTAGGCGAAGATAGAAATCAATCGTGTAAGGTAGGTCGTAGGTGTTTTCGCGTACAGTATAGGTTATAATGGTGCGTCGGTGGCACAGCGGTAGAATGCTTGCCAACCACCACGCCTCATGTGATTCGGGGTTCGATATCCGGTCACTGACGTGTACTACTCTTTTATCTCGCTAAGCCAGTAGTAAGACTGTTAAAGAGGGAAGTTTGGGCCAGCATGAGGCGGGCAACTCCATCCCGTAAAAAATAAACACCATTGCTGCTACCGAAACTACAAACCTCTAGCTTGCTGACGCGCCCTATATTTCAATGGGAATGTCAAGGAATTTTAAAAAAATAGGTGAATGCCTACAATGCAAAGGTTCCAGATGTGTAATTTAAAAGTCTAGAAAAATAATCCCTATTTAAGCGAAGAAATATTTTGCTTTTCAATTAGATCCTGATCTCTGGCTCTACTCTAATGTATATATATATATTTAATGCAATACACAACATTTTACCAGTATAGAGGTGATATTTTTGTTAACAATAACTTTTACTGATCCCACTGAAACAGCTTAAAAATAACTGATTGAGTCATGGGGTGGGGTTGGGTTAAACTGGATTACTGTAGTCTACGAATGCCGTCACACCAAGATTATATGGACTGTCGAAAAAATGCATAAAAATGGTTCACTACTTTGGTCAGTGCTAGATATATATCTTATTTCACGTATCACCCAACAGCTAAATAGTTGGTGCTGCACTCATCAAGGCACTCTACTCGAACTCAAGCGATGACGACTGTTGGTGTCCGTCAGGGATGTCCATTTTCCTCCTTTCTATTCAATCTCGTCATAGATGTACTAATGGACTTAACCCTAACTCACTTCAGAGACTCAGGGATTGACTTGCTACCAAGGAATAATCTCGTTGACCTAGAATGTGCAGACGATATAGTCCACCCTCCTATGTGAAGACGCTGACAAAATACAGCGGGGTTTTCTGAACACCTTGAGCTGCAATCTTTGAATGTTTTGCATGTGACTCGCTCCTTCTGTCAAATGTGTGATGATGAGGCTACAGGACTGGATTACATTGACTCCTAGCTTAGAAATAGGTAGTGAAGTGGTAGAGCACGTTGGCCGCTTCACTTATTTGGGAAGTACCATCAACCCCAACGGGTTGGTCGCTGACGAAATCTCAGCAGGGATACAGAGGGCTAGTTTCGCATATGCCAGTTTACGCAGTCTCGGGCGTAGACATGATATCCAGCTGGCTATCGACCAAAGAGCGGGTGTACTGCTCACCAGTCCGCTCCGTCCTCCTTTGTGGCTAGCTGTGAGACCTGGCAATTGAGAGTGGAAGACATGAAAGGTTAGCTGTCTTTGATCATAGGTGCCTGCGTTCTATCTCCCGTGTGAAGTGGTATAATAAGGTAAGTGATATTGAGGTTAGGCATCGTTCGAGTTCTAGGTAAGGAGGGGAAATCAATCGACGAAGCTGTGAAATTACATCGACTGAGTGAGATGGTTGGGCATGTGTTACGTATGCCTAGTCATCGCCTTCCGCGACGGGTAATGTTAGCAGACATAGAGTCGGGTTCGAAAAGAGCTAGCGGTGGTCAAACCGAAACATGGCACCAGTCAATGAAATCTACAACAGATAGTTTAAGCCACGTAGGAAGGTGTAGACTTCCTGGTTGGTGTCATCGGGACGATAAAAACCAATGTCTGGAAACAATTGGTGATATGGCTCAAAATCGTTCTCAGTGGCGCAGATGCATCCACTCCTTGTGACTTATGATTTCCAATGGAACTATATTGTTCTTCGTTATTACTATTCCTTTGTCTCACACCTCTGTTTACTGTCTCTATTATGCATTTCTTCTCTTGCTTTGTGTGCTACATGGAGTGTGGCGACTTGAACTGCCGCACATTGGTGCAAAGTTCTATGTCGAAAATAGGCAGACGATAAATAGTTGGTGAAAACACTTACAACCTCTGTGTGATGATGAACTCTTGAGGCATGGCGTAAAAATGGTAGCTTTGAATTTGTGAAAGAATAAGAGATTTCAATATCGTTTGATATATCCTCCTTATTCACGAGTGTATATTGAGACTGGGGATTTTACGCGTGATGAGATTACTAAGCAAAATACAGACGTTTGCATTACTGCATCCTTCTTGAAGGAACTTATTTGAAGGTGTTCACTGATTGTTCATTTCTTATTCACAATAAGGAATACTGCAGACAAACTGACAGGGGTGGCTATGGGCTCCGCATTAGGTCCAATACTTACTGAATTTTTCCTCGCTAAGTTAGAGAATGGACAACTGAAAGGAGTAATTAATAAGTTGGAATTCTACTGTCGATATATAGATGATACATTACTGGTTATGTAGAGGAGAATGGTGCTCGGGGGGGGGGGCTTCGTGTGCGGTTGTTACTTCTCGGCTTCCCACACCGTGGGAGTTGGTTGGTTCTTCGTGTACCTGAAACAAAGAGAGGGTTAGTATTGCCCACAAATTCTTACACAATCCCGGTAACTGCTTTTAGTCTAATCGCTATCACAACAACCTTCCTGGCATGGTAGGACCTGCATAGACATTAGTCCTAGCGAGTGTAGCTTGTTGGACCATTGCGACATGCAAGCCCGACCACTACGTCAAGGTAGGTGGCAGCTGTCGGTTGGGCTGGTTATGAAGAACGAGAATGAAGTGACGAACACACTCTACAAGTTAAATGTTGTGCCTCTAGCCATAAACTTTTCTTCAGAGAGAGGAAGGAATGATAATATTTGATTCCTGAAGGTCTCTATAACTAAGAAACAGGATGATGTTACACTAAGAAGGATTGTTTATTGGAAAGTTACATCGACCGGTTAGTACATTCACCATTTTCTTTTTGAGTTTTGCACCTCTGAAAAATATAAACGGAACTCGGTAAAGTGTCTGGTCGAACGACTCTCTCAGCTGAAGAGCTTACTATTATCAGAGAATTACTTAGTAAAAATGGTTATCCGGATAAATTCAATAATGGATTTAGCACCGAAATAAGCCTGTAGGTAGGGCAACAGCTCCAAAACAACCATTCTTCATGAAACTGCCATTCCTCGATGATAACATCAACGAAACAGTAACACAACGCCTGAAGAATTCAGTTAAAAGAGCATTCAATGCAACAGCAGCAAAAGTACTACGTTGTCTTTTCACTAGCACGCCTATTTAACTTTTGAGAAATACGGACAAGTATCTTTTTGTAATACACAGAATCAATAATATTGAGTAAATTCAAGTCGTAGTTGATCGCCGCCACCATTTTTACTATCTAAGTAGGCTGAAACGTTAAGGTAAATTTGTTCTTACGATAACTGATATATACTCACACCCACCGCTCAGTCATTGAATTATTAAGAGATAAGTTGAGTAAAGAACCGATAAATGGTTTATCAAAATCTGCGGGCGTCAAATTTGAAATAGTAAGCCGGAATAAATCAATCAGTAATCATTGATTTATAGATTTTAAATCAGATGACATTTATCAATAACTCCATTATGGATACGATTTTATTTTGATAAAATCACACACAGTGGTGCTATACCGTAATATTAACTGATGACCACGTTTCGAGCATAATTTATTGCTGTTCCTAATCATATCAAGACACTACTCACACAACTTTTTCCTTCATTTATATACATGTGTGGAATTGACTAGATATTTGAACAAAAATCGATATTGATAATGTACATTCAGAAATAATATTACGAGTGTTATTAATCCATTACAATTAGATGGGAAATACGACGAGTGTTTGTATAGTCATAATAAGTGGCTTGTTACAATGTTGTGATGTACGTGAATTGAATTGAAATAGAATTTTGAGATTATTTATTATCCTCTTCTGATTTGACTGACTGGCGGTAATAATATCTTCCATATCTCTGGTATTTGCGTTGAGTCATTTCTGTTGCATGTGTTGTGTTGGGTGTAGACTCAATGAACCAGGCAGAATTCAGTAATCAGTCTCTCTCTCCACCTACATAGATTACCTCTTGGAATTTTAACCCTCTCCCATCCTATTGTGTGATTGTGTGTTAATGCATGTAGTGCAATTGCTGAGCTTTTTTCTAAATTACTTATCTTCTCAGG